CACAAGAATATTACAAGCTTTTATTTAACTTGCTTCCTCTGTCTGTCTGTCTGTCTGTCTGTCTGTCTGTCTGTCTGTCTGTCTGTCTGTCTGTCTGTCTGTCTGTCTGTCTGTCTGTCTGTCTGTCTGTCTGTCTGTCTGTCTGTCTGTCTGTCTGTCTGTCTGTCTGTCTGTCTGTCTGTCTGTCTGTCTGTCTGTCTGTCTGTCTGTCTGTCTGTCTGTCTGTCTGTCTGTCTGTCTGTCTGTCTGTCTGTCTGTCTGTCTGTCTGTCTGTCTGTCTGTCTGTCTGTCTGTCTGTCTGTCTGTCTGTCTGTCTGTCTGTCTGTCTGTCTGTCTGTCTGTCTGTCTGTCTGTCTGTCTGTCTGTCTGTCTGTCTGTCTGTCTGTCTGTCTGTCTGTCTGTCTGTCTGTCTGTCTGTCTGTCTGTCTGTCTGTCTGTCTGTCTGTCTGTCTGTCTGTCTGTCTGTCTGTCTGTCTGTCTGTCTGTCTGTCTGTCTGTCTGTCTGTCTGTCTGTCTGTCTGTCTGTCTGTCTGTCTGTCTGTCTGTCTGTCTGTCTGTCTGTCTGTCTGTCTGTCTGTCTGTCGTCGTCGTGGATCGAAACTGCCGAGCGAAAGCTGTATTTGTATTTGTATTTGTATTTGTATTTGTATTTGTATTTGTATTTGTATTTGTATTTGTATTTGTATTTGTATTTGTATTTGTATTTGTATTTGTATTTGTATTTGTATTTGTATTTGTATTTGTATTTGTATTTGTATTTGTATTTGTATTTGTATTTGTATTTGTATTTGTATTTGTATTTGTATTTGTATTTGTATTTGTATTTGTATTTGTATTTGTATTTGTATTTGTATTTGTATTTGTATTTGTATTTGTATTTGTATTTGTATTTGTATTTGTATTTGTATTTGTATTTGTATTTGTATTTGTATTTGTATTTGTATTTGTATTTGTATTTGTATTTGTATTTGTATTTGTATTTGTATTTGTATTTGTATTTGTATTTGTATTTGTATTTGTATTTGTATTTGTATTTGTATTTGTATTTGTATTTGTATTTGTATTTGTATTTGTATTTGTATTTGTATTTGTATTTGTATTTGTATTTGTATTTGTATTTGTATTTGTATTTGTATTTGTATTTGTATTTGTATTTGTATTTGTATTTGTATTTGTATTTGTATTTGTATTTGTATTTGTATTTGTATTTGTATTTGTATTTGTATTTGTATTTGTATTTGTATTTGTATTTGTATTTGTATTTGTATTTGTATTTGTATTTGTATTTGTATTTGTATTTGTATTTGTATTTGTATTTGTATTTGTATTTGTATTTGTATTTGTATTTGTATTTGTATTTGTATTTGTATTTGTATTTGTATTTGTATTTGTATTTGTATTTGTATTTGTATTTGTATTTGTATTTGTATTTGTATTTGTATTTGTATTTGTATTTGTATTTGTATTTGTATTTGTATTTGCATTTGCATTTGCATTTGCATTTGTATTTGTATTTGTATTTGTATTTGTATTTGTATTTGTATTTGTATTTGTATTTGTATTTGTATTTGTATTTGTATTTGTATTTGTATTTGTATTTGTATTTGTATTTGTATTTGTATTTGTATTTGTATTTGTATTTGTATTTGTATTTGTATTTGTATTTGTATTTATATTTGTATTTGTATTTGTAAATAGAGGCCAGTGCAGGGCTTGCTATTAAAACGTTTCTAATGCAAGTTTTTAAAACAGCAGTTTGCAATTACGAGCCAGTAAGGAGATTAAACGACCTTAAGCTGATTAACAACGGCTATCAATTATTAAGGTGGAATCGGTCTAACTGAAAATAAATCAGTTATGGCAGGCTTAGATTTATGTACAGTAGTTTAAATACACGCCCAGAGAACAAGATATATCTTACAAGCAGTAGATCATGAAATATGAGACACACTCAATACGTGGTCTGTTAATCTGTTTTTCTTCTTGTGGTTTAAAGGGAGAGGGGGGGGGGGGCTGTGTATTTGCCAAGACATTAATAATTTTATCTACGTAAGCATTAAAAAAAAACAACAACTTTAACTTAAGACCTAATTTAAAAAAGACTGTTGTGTGTATCAGTTTGTTTAAAGTTTTCATTACATTTTTTAAAAAAATAATTAATTATTGGACTTTCCAATAATTTCCAAACATTTTGACAATAATATTCACCAATCACTAGTCGCAAATATAATGTACCGCCCAATCACGTGATGTATCAATCAGCTTTGCCTGACCAGCTTGATAAGTTACATTGCTGATTACTCTAGTGATGTTTTATAAAGAATCTGGCAGTAATTACAGAGTTCCAGCAGTTTAAAACTCACCAGTTTCGGAAGCAAGTCTGCCAGTGAATAACTAAGCAAGCTATATGGGATACATAAACAAAAATATCAAATGTTTGTAAGTAGATAAAAACAGCCCTGAATATTTTCTAAAATATTACATATACCCTACAGATCTGATTGAGATCGCCAGATTTGGTTGTATAAAAATGAAAACGTGAATTTGCTGGAAAAATTGAGTATACACATGCCATGCGAATTTTATTGGGGTTAATCTGATCAATCGGCGGTAAAACAACATAAAAACTGACCCTTAACTTGATTTTATAATGGTATTTAAACGACACACGGGAAGCGGAAAGAAATCAATAAAGTTTTGATCCCTAATCAATGGGTGAGATGTAGCAGTTAGTAAGATGTAGCAGTTGGTGAGATGTAGCAGTTAGTAAGATGTAGCAGTTGGTGAGATGTAGCAGTTAGTAAGATGTAGCAGTTGGTGAGATGTAGCAGTTAGTAAGATGTAGCAGTTGGTGAGATGTAGCAGTTAGTAAGATGTAGCAGTTGGTGAGATGTAGCAGTTAGTAAGATGTAGCAGTTGGTGAGATGTAGCAGTTAGTAAGATGTAGCAGTTGGTGAGATGTAGCAGTTAGTAAGATGTAGCAGTTGGTGAGATGTAGCAGTTAGTAAGATGTAGCAGTTGGTGAGATGTAGCAGTTAGTAAGATGTAGCAGTTGGTGAGATGTAGCAGTTAGTAAGATGTAGCAGTTGGTGAGATGTAGCAGTTAGTAAGATGTAGCAGTTGGTGAGATGTAGCAGTTAGTAAGATGTAGCAGTTGGTGAGATGTAGCAGTTAGTAAGATGTAGCAGTTGGTGAGATGTAGCAGTTAGTAAGATGTAGCAGTTGGTGAGATGTAGCAGTTAGTAAGATGTAGCAGTTGGTGAGATGTAGCAGTTAGTAAGATGTAGCAGTTGGTGAGATGTAGCAGTTAGTAAGATGTAGCAGTTGGTGAGATGTAGCAGTTAGTAAGATGTAGCAGTTGGTGAGATGTAGCAGTTAGTAAGATGTAGCAGTTGGTGAGATGTAGCAGTTAGTAAGATGTAGCAGTTGGTGAGATGTAGCAGTTAGTAAGATGTAGCAGTTGGTGAGATGTAGCAGTTAGTAAGATGTAGCAGTTGGTGAGATGTAGCAGTTAGTAAGATGTAGCAGTTGGTGAGATGTAGCAGTTAGTAAGATGTAGCAGTTGGTGAGATGTAGCAGTTAGTAAGATGTAGCAGTTGGTGAGATGTAGCAGTTAGTAAGATGTAGCAGTTGGTGAGATGTAGCAGTTAGTAAGATGTAGCAGTTGGTGAGATGTAGCAGTTAGTAAGATGTAGCAGTTGGTGAGATGTAGCAGTTAGTAAGATGTAGCAGTTGGTGAGATGTAGCAGTTAGTAAGATGTATCAGTTGGTGAGATGTAGCAGTTTAAAGAAGATTGAGGTAAAAGCGGACTACTAGCAATACTAGAAATAAATAGATGCTATTTGCCCTGACGTCCAGCTGGGTGAAAGGGGGGGGGGGGGAGGTTGGGGATCTAGAATCTGGATCTAGAATCTACGGCTGGCTTAAATCTAGTTTTTCCGTAGCTCTAGAATCTAGAAATCTAGATAAATTCCTTGTATTCTCGAATTAGATGATCTGTGAAGCTAATAAGCAAAGATTTATATCACATATTCACGGTCTAAACTAGTTTAATAAAGAATTCAATTATTTATAGTGTTTTTTGTATCCAACTAATTAATTTAGGTTTGGCCTATCGGTAGATCTAGAGAATCTAGGCTACATTAATATATGGTATAGATCTAGTCAAATAAGAAGAACTGCACTTCGTAAATGAAAAAATAGTTTAAGTATTTACAATGGATTAAAAATCATATTTATATCCCTGTTGTTTCATATAAGAATATTCGAGAAAGTTTAGGGGAGATCACTCACGGTTTATTAGTTACTAAAACTTTTTAAAATAGAATAAAATCTCGTAGAAAAAAGAATTCGCCAAGCAAAATGTGTATAATAATGCGAAATATTATTAGTACTTAAAAAATTCACATGCAATTTTTTTGCGAAATTGGAAATAGCGTAAATTGCTACTTCCGGTGAAGGGAAATTACTCAGAATTTGACAGAAAATAGAGAATTAGATCTTCTACTTGCACGTGAAATTTTATTTATATCTGAAATAGTACTCAAGTTTAATGTTTTTTGAAAAATTGAGAGTAGAAAAAGTTCTACTTCCGGTTATCGGAAATCACTCAAAAGTTGATACGGATCTACGATTTTGATGTAATACTTATATATGAAATTTCATCAACCTAGCTGTAACGGTATTCAAGTTATCGTGTTTACAGAAACACGCACATACACACACACACACATACATACAGACAATATTGCAAAAATATGTTGTTCCGACCCAGGAAGGTGTAAAACGTCGAGATTTGCAAAAATCTCGATTTTTTAAAATTTGCACGATTACAATACTTTCTCTATACTTTGTATACGAAAAAGTAAAAAGCTGTGTGCATACTTTGATGACCCCCCCCCCCACCACCACCACCAAACAAAACGTTTGTGTCGGATCACAAGCAATCGATCCCCACACCTGTATATAAGGCGCCATGTTATAGGCAGAGATCACCTTA